TACGTTCAAAACCCATTTGAAACTTCTCCTCCTTCTAAAATAACTATACAAATTATATTAATCAACAGATCAGTAGCGGCAATCGGCGGCAAAATGACTTATCGGCGGAAGACTAGTGAACGGCGGCAAGAAACGGTAGCAACGGACGGGCGAATTCTTGGCCCTACCAAGGGAAAAAATCTCGCGCCTGGTCGAGGTTGGCGGTATCAACGATCTGGCGGGTCGGTCTCGGTAGCCTCGGGTAAACCGCAACCAGGAATCGGACGGATCCAGAAGATGTCGGCGGTTACTTCGGCAAAACAAAACAAAATTACGGCAGACTCCCCAGCGGAAATGAAAGCTACAAAACACAAATCGGCGGAAGCGGCGGAAAAGCAATTGCGGGAAAGCGAACAGTATTCCCCCATTATAACTAGTGAAACAGATAGTAACGTAAAGCTCACCTTGCAGTTAACTGAGCAGTAGAAAAAAAGTTGCTAAAAGCCAAGTCCAATGAATACGGGTAACCCCATGCATATAAAATTCCTATAATATGGAGAGGGAACTAGGAAATTCCGAGCTGCTTGCGTACCTAATATGGAACGCGTTCAACATTAAAACTTCTTTAATTAACTACTTTGCCTGCAATTATCGGAAAAATATGGGATCGAAATCAGGCGTCAATTTTTTTAAGCGCGCTTCTTTTGAGACTACTTTGAACGCAGTCTGACGTTTTTTATTCTAGTGGGAAAAAAGTGTGAAAGCACTGACAACTTTGTAGTACGTTTAATCTCAAATTAGACACTCTTGTACTTCATAGCTGATTTTGATAGGGAGTTTTAATTTTATTAAACATAAAAAGAAAATTCCTTTGCTACTTACCAGGACAATAACTATTGAACGGAGTATACAACTCGTTAAAACGTGTCGTTAATTATGCTTACCCAATTAGACACCTAGGCTTAATTGGAATTAAATTTCAATCGGTGATATCGGTCTATTGCTCTTACCGGAACTTGCAGGCGAATTGTCTTCACGGCGAATACTCGTTTCTATCCTGGTTTTCACTTACAATTGGAAACTAAAATGGTTATTAATTAATTAACGGCGCTGAAATCTCAAACTATTAATTTGCTTAATCTTCCAACTAATGACAGGTTTCGGAGGCTGCAAGAATAATTATATCTTGTCGAGACCGGTTTCAAGTGGTGACGTAATTACTGGATTTGTTAACGGTAACGACCTCAAATCATACACAAAACAAATAAGTTCAGCCGCCACAACCTTCTTTGTGACGAAGGCCAAATTTATAGGTTCTAAATACCCGGTGGCCTTCTACAGAGTGGTCACTAAAATTTGTTACATGTCTTGGTATCAAAACGGGTGCTTCGTTACAGAAACTACTGTTAATCTCAAAAAGAGTATTTTAATTTGTAAAAATTTGTATAAATCAGAGAAGAGTTTTGGTAAAATTCAAAAACGGGTTATACAAAAACTTCAAAAAAATTTGGGTAGTTAAAACATTTTCTTAGTGATTTTAACTAAATTATAAATCCGTTGGAAGGGTTTATATAATAACATCTTTTCAAGACAAATCTTTAAAAAAATTGATATGATTTTAAGTCGATTCTAGAGAAGCTTCAAAAACTTGTTAAAAGATTCCGTATAACGTAGGTACCTATAGCAAAATTCAATGCTTGCGACCTCTAAGAAAGGTTTTAAAAAGATTTAGCAAAATTTTGGAAAAGGATTAAAAAAAGATCATGGGATCGCCGACAGTGTTCGGAAAAATTGTATTTAAGATTTCCATGAATATTTCAAAATAATTCAGAAATACTTTGTCAGATATATACCTATATTGATTTGTCTGGTATTACAAACATTTCAAAAGGATTGTAAAGACATTTCAATACAATTTCTAAATGTTAAAGACAGATTTGAAAATTTAAAGGATATATAAGAAATATTATTAAAAGATTTCGGGAAGATTAATAGTCCTGTAAATTTAAACATGAAAAGGGGGTCGTGCTTGCAAAAGATCCGGTCGTTCTGAATTTTTTGTATGTTGTTAGGACCTAAACCAACAATAAAAAACCAGATTTGCAATTTCCAAAGTGCTGTGCGATCGGCGGTATGTCCAAAAAACCATGAAATTTACGGACTTTTTTCAGTTTTTACTCCATATCTCGGTGAAGGAAGGGTCTGATCGGTATAGTCATTCTATAATCTTTTAAAGTAGACTAAATTTGCTACAATTTGAGACTAGAGCGGTCTATACAGCCATTGGTTCCCAAGATTCAGTTCTTCGAAAATAGGAATTTTTTTTAAAAATGATTTTTTTTCAAAATGACCACTTTTTGCAAAATATATTCTAAAATACGAATCCCACTCTGTACTCCGCCTTCACTCCGCTTTCCAGCCACACGCCGATAGATTCAAGAACTCACGTCGTTTTGGATGGTGGCTACCTCTTGCACAAGGTCGTGGAGCAGCGGAAGAGCACAGTTCGAGCACTTTTGGCGCGTTATACCACCTACGTCCATAATCACTTGAGAATAACGTCTCCATTGTTTATGAAGGCTACCCAGAAGATGCTACCACAAAAAAACACCAAAACAGCTGAACTGACTTCGGCGCTACGCTGCTCATTCTAGCTACGAATTGACTTTCGATAAATCCACAGTAATTCAAATTGCTCAAGAGCATGTTTTGGGCAATGAGAACAACAAGAGACGCCTAATCACTCTTCTTTGTGACGCCTTTCAGAAGGAGAGAGAAGTGGCTGTTGCCGAAGAAGATTCGGATCGAGAGATCGTCATGACGGCACTTTCAAAAAGAGCAGTAGCCGATCGGGTCGTCATAGTGGGAGAAGACGTCGACCCGCTCGTTCTTCTCAATGGTTTAGGCGCCGCGAAGAGACAAACGTCTACCTTCAGACGAACACGAAGGGGCGAAGGTGGTTGCTCTCGCTTGTCACATATGACATGTTTTATCTGCCGTTTTTGAGAAAACGGCTGGGCCTACGGTCACCAGTCTGGTCTGAAATGAAAGGGAATGAAATTTGCTACAACTTAATTTCATATAATATTTGACGTGGGATTCGTATTTTAGAAGATATTTCTAAGCAAGTATAAATTGTGCACAACTCTTGTGCAAACATCACCATTGGATATATTCCTTGCAGACGTCTCATTCGCCCCCAGTACCCTCTTCCGACAATCCGTTCTTGAGGTATAAGGGAATATACTCGATCACGATCAGAGGTCGAGGAGGAGGACTATGGTTGCTAGAAATTAATTTCTTTCGTTGAGACCTTTCATTAAAGTACCATGAAGGATAAAACTAGTTCCACTCCCCCCTGCCCCTCCACCCCGTACCTTGATAAGAGGACAGAAAGGAGAGCAGTAATTGGTAGAAAACGGTTCCTGAGACCTTTATTAATTAGAATACAATGATAGATAAATTTATGTTTAATACTTAAAAAATGTGCTAAAAAAAATTGGCCATTTTGAAAAAAATCATTTTTTTAAAATCCGATTTTCGAAGAACTGTGTCTTGGGAACCAATGGTTGTATAGATCACGCTCGAGTCTCAAATTGTAGCAAATTTAGTCTATTTTAAAAGATTATAGAGTAAAAACTGAAAAAAGTTCGTAAATTGCATGGTTTTTTGGATATACCGCCGATCGCACAGAACTTTGGAAATTGCAAATCTGGTTTTTTATTGTTGGTTTAGGTACTAACAACATATAAAAAATTCAGAATGACCAGACCTTTTGCAAGCACCGATGTACATCTTGATTGGACTATAAAGAAAATCCTAGAATCCTAAAAAATTTTTGAAAAACTGGGAAGATATTCCAAGGAAATTTCAAAAATATGTTTCGATAAATAATACTATGACAAATTTCCAGTCGTTTCCACAAAGATTTCAGCATATTAAAAAAAGTATCAGCAAAATTTAAAACAGAGGTATCGAAGGGGATTTTAAAAGTTTTTTAGTAGTGGATATTGTAAGGCAAAATACGTCCCCGCGCTCTCCTTTCTACATATCTATGCTCACTCCAGGGGGTTAGGTATAACATTTTTTAGGGCTTCCAATTAACTTTCAAAGAGTCCGGAAAGTTTAAAAAATTAGGGAAGAGGTTTAATAATTCCAGATGAACATTTAGAGTTGTTTATAATAACCTCGATGAGAGGTAGGAAGGTGTACATGTACATTCAGAATAGTAAGAATATTTAGTTAGAAACAATTTTGTTCAATTTTTGTAAACGTACATTAAACTCCATTCAATGGGCAATGGATCGTAAATATAAATACAATAAACCAAACTTTCCTTTTTCGAATGTGTTTTAATGCATAATTTATACGATCTCAACAAGCCAGATATTACATTAATAAATATTCGGCAAACTGTAAAGTAGATTTAAAATTCAAACAAATATGGAGTAGCTAAATCTGTGTATCCATTATAAAATCAGTTTAAAAGTTGCTAATGCATTAGGCGGCGCAGTACTCACTCTTCATATATAAATATTCAAATAATCCGCCGGAATCAGATTATAAAAGTAGAGTTAGCGTATGATGTTGTGGCTTTGTATTAACTTCGCCTGCACCACCTGGGACGCTCCCAGCGCTCCATATAAACACTGAAATATCAGAATTTATGTGTAACCCTCTAAATGTTTGTCTTTCGAATAAATCCCTGATCCACATAACACCCTACTGCAAAATTAATCAATTATATAAATGAAGAACTTGATGCGATTCTACAGTAGTCGTTAAGTATAGAGTAATTGATGAATGTATATTGTATAAAATGAAGAGAGTAAATTAAGCTCTCACTTACGGATGGCTAGTATTTGGCCCTGAACAAACAACGACCTAAGGTAACAGTGACTGGCAATTTCCACGTACGTTTTAATCAATAGAATTAATAACATAATAGACGATCGCCAGCACTTCTAAACAATTAAAGATGAATCGTTGTTAAAATCAGTGGTATGAGTATATGCAAAACAAAGAATTAAAGCTTATTTATTTGTCTGAAATCGTCGAGTGGGTTTATCAGTCATAGTTACACACATTTCATAATTATTTCCAAAAAATCTTCATACTTCAAGTTGATTTTCCCTGTCAAGTTGGTATCCCTCTCCTTAAACTCGTCTGTAAACCTTTGAATCTGGACGCAAATTACTATAAATTGATCCAAGGACACCCGTTTACCATTTTGATCATTTCTACTAATCAAAAATTTTATAAAATCCGGGCTAAAGTTGATATCCATTTCCCGAAGCGCTAGATCAAATTGCGCTTCGTCCAAAAACCCCGTACGGTTCTTGTCGATGTGGTTAAACGCCGAAACCCATTGCTTTACGTACGAGTAGAGCATTTCAAATTCGGGAACGTCCAGACCACCATTGCGGTCCAAGTCGAAGAGTCGCACGACGAATTTGCACGAGGCGTCCGAAAAGTGCTTCCCTTGAAATGTGAGAAACGCGTCTTGGAGTTCCTTCGCACTGATTTTTCCCAGTCCTTTAGATTCCATCATTTGAAACTGAGACCATCTTTCGGTAGCCAGACTTGTTTGCGTTAGGCTGATGGGTTTTTTAATATGTTTCACGGTGTTGTTTGATGTGGCGTCTGCTCTACCCGAAACGGCGTATGATTTTTCTACGAAATATATAAATTAATATTGTAATTTCTCGATTGCATTGGCAAGTGCTGGAATGCTAACCAAGTGCTGTACCTGTACCTGTGGCAGTTTTCCTTGATTGCTCGTCAGTTTCTTCTTCTATAATACCCGTTACAAATTTGGACAACATTCCACAATAATTTTGTGATGAAAATTTTGGTTTGAAAGTTTTGTTTGCGATATGACGTTATGATACCAATTTTATTTTTAGAGGTTGCTTGGATTCTTTTATATAAGAGAAAAAAATAAACTTTGTTTAAACTCCTTGTCTAAGGTTTTACTTTTAATGCTGCTGGTACCTATAGTTATTGCTGGTGGATTTTTGTGTAATCAATTACGGTTAGAAGAATTAAGTTTTAATACACTTTGCTGTAAGCAGGTTGGTTTAGCAGCTTTGTAGGATTTTCTGATGAGTTTTCACCTTACTGTGCTGAAGAGTAGGTCTAGGTATTTAGTGGTCCTTTGTCCCTTATAGGTTACGATTATTCTTTTAAAAAAATGATTAAAGTCCTCGTGTGAGATCGAAGGGACTTCAGCGCATTTTTGTGTGGCAGATCAGTGTTTTATTAGCCAATATTGACGCCACCATCAATAAGATCTTGCCGAAAGCTACCACGTTCACTTTGTCGGTACCATTTTCTCACTTACCGTGCACTTGCAATTCGCGTTTGAAGTTTTGACTCCACCATCAGTAAAATCCTTTGGGGGTTACCATATTCCCTTTGTCGACACCCACTTCTGATCACCCGCAACAATTCGGATTTGAAGTTTCGACTCCACCATCAGTAAGATCTCGTCGGGGGTTACCACATTCCCTTTGTCGATACACAGTTCCGACGTCCCGTTCATTCGTAATTCACATTTTGGTAGATTTCGCTAAAATCCCGGCATAAAATCGTATTCAACTTTTGGGTACTTCACATAGCTCGACCTTCTATTAGTGACACGAGAAAGAGAGACCGCGATTCGCGCTGTAAGAAACTTTTGGGCGCCCAAAGTCGACTACCCCTCGAAGCGCGCCGCGCAAAAGGTGGTTTATTTCGCCCCTAGGAAAAAAAACAAAATTCCGCCACGCAGGAGTTGTGCGCGTTGACAAGATCTTCCCGACGACACCAATTTGAAAACAATCGGAGAAAAACTGTAGAAGAAGATAGATAAAAACTGAAAAATCTCCAGGTTAGTATAATACGCTCGGGGATGGCGTCCAGATGTCGTCGACTCCAAATCTTGTAGCCCCATCCCTAACGTTCTTAATTACACGGACCTTTTTCTACGGCCAACTGCCAGCCAGCCAGCCAGCCAGCCAGCCAGCCAGCCAGCCAAAGTGAGATTAAAAGCTACTTTTTACAAAAAAAAATTTTTGCAAAAATGCGCTAAAAACGTGGTAGGTACATGTCTTCTCAACTTTCAACCGTTGCCAAATTCGCACCCTATTCTGATTACGTCGTTTGCGGCAAATCTGGCAACATTGGACCTTCCTCTACTACTCGCTTGGCATAGTGGGTGCTAGGACTTTGTGGTAGCTTGAATCCAGATTTGGAGATGCATTTTTGGAAGGATAGGTATGATGGGCGGAAAGTTAAGTTAAATGGAACTACGCCCTTTAGCTTTCGGCAAAGAGAAATAAAATAAACCTATAAGTCTCTTAAGTTAGGTACACACCTACAGGTGTACCTTTCAATTCTACTTGCCGCATGTCAAGTGAACCTGGGGATATGGATAAGTTAAAACTATCAGTTTTCGTAACTGGGAAGAGACCTGATGCTTGCAATGAAAGTCGACAGGGCACAGGTGCACCTGCCACATGCCACCCTTCGACTTGTAGGTGTGTCTGAATTCCTGGGTCGATCTGGCAGTTGTCCACGGTAGATCCCTCCGTTCTCAAGCATTTTTAACCAACTGAAATGTACGGTGGGCTTGTAGAAGTGTACATACCTTTATATATAGTCTAACAGCTCACAACACACAATCAAGGTCAAAAATAATGTCCCACTTGGTAGCACAGGGTAACCAAGATATTATGCTCGCCAGGAGATAATATATATATAATATATAATTAATTTAGAAACAAGTTGAAGCAAATCATCAAATGTATTATCAGGTAATAACCTGAGAGATATTACTTTGGGCCTCGAGTGTACATGCCCCAACGTACCTAGTCATCTGGTAAAATGCATTTTGACTTGTTGGAGGTAAGACATCGAGGAAAACATTTGTACCGTGGAGATACTTCCACAGCCGGCCAAACTATCATCAAGCGTCTTGCAAGAGGAGCTTTTATTTAACAACTGTACTAAGTACACTTCGGCAAGTGCCATGCGTTTGTCGTTGTCTGGATATAGCGGTGAAGGTAATACACCAAAACCTTTCAAATATTACTCGGGCTACAGTCAATTGCAGTTTTTTTGTTCCAAATTTGCTCGTATACTCTCCACCAGAAAGAGCATGAAATACCGGTAATATCTGACACGTATCTTGTCCCAGGGTTTCAACTAACATGTGGATAGGGATGAGTCGCGTTTTGTTTCATACACTAGGAGTGAACGAAATGTGGATGGGAACTGGACCAGGGGACAAAATACGACTCATCCTATCCACATGTTAGTCGAAATCCTCGGACAAGATGTGTGTAAGGTATTACGGACACTTTATGCTCTCTTTGGTGGAGATCATACGAACAAGTTTGGAACAAAAAAAGCTGCAATTGACTGTAACCATGAGAGGTACTTAAAAGCCATGTTGCGTCTGTCTTTAACATGCGACAATCGTTTGCTTTTGCTTTCATTTTTGCTCACTCCATCAGTTAACTGAGACATATCCTTCAGCGTCCTTACTGTGATTGTTAGTGCTATTTAAAAAGTAATATAGGCGGCAATTTCTTTGTAATGATTGATGAATAATCTATCCATGTGGAGTTGGCCCCGCCGACATGAAATAATTTGACAAAAATGTGTCCACAGTCCATCTTCGAGCACAAAACAGTTCTAACATAGCGCTAACGATCGTATGTGAGTTTTTTTAAAAGCGAGTCATGGGTGGAGTCACCTTCATACAATATTTTAGGCTTTTTTGTTTTTCTTGGAAAGGTGAAATGCTGGAATCGCAATTTTCGAGCACAAAACAGCACTAACCTAGCACTAACGATCACATGTGGTTTCATCTAATTATAAATGTATGGGCGGGGCTAACTTCACACTTGACTTTTTTAGGAACAGCGAAAGAATTTGAGTTACTGTTTATCTGGCATTTAACAGTACTAACATAGCACTAACGCCGTGTGTGTTCATTATTTCGATTTCGGTTTTTTTATTTTTCTCATTACATAGCAGCACTAACGATAAGCTTGAAGCACTAAACAGCACTAACGTAGTATTAACTGTTGACACATTTTTGTTAAATTATTTCATGTGGGCGGGCCCAACTTCACATAGGCGAATAATCTGCCGTATTCAGAATAAGCATACAGGGTTGGGTAAAAAGTTACGGGACCTAACCCGATTCTTTTTGTTTTCTATAGATTTTAGTCTTGTCAGCATATTAAATTATCTCTTCAAAAATATAACACCACAGATAATATTCAAAAAGATTCAAGTTATACAACATTAAAAAAAAAATGTTTGAATTTGTTTGTAAGTTAAATCTTTTTGAAACTTTTTAAAATTTTTTTGAAATTTGTGTTTAAATATTTTTGAAAAGAGAATTTAGTATACTATCATTTTAGATTAAAATCTAGATATTCTTCCATTTAAAAAGTGAGGTTAGGTCCGATAACTTTTTTACCTGGTCCTGTATATTTATTCTGAATACGGCGAATTGATCAACATTTTTGTATAAAACATTTTCCTCTACCTCTTGTAACTACGAAAACCCGTAATAGCGAATTTTTCAAATTTTGATTTTACTGTTTTAAATTTGACCCAAAAACAACACATGACGCCTAATAATAGCTTTACAAGGGTTGGAGGCCCTTATTTGCATTGCGGAAGTTTGGCCTTTCGTCTCCCTTTAAATCTGAAAATCAAAACTTGTTGCTTTGGTTTGACGGAACTCGAATAAATACGCACGTGAAATTAGTTGATTGAAATATTAACAAACTGAAATCTATCCGATTCCATTTTCCTTTAAATCTTCCTTTTTTAAAATATCAATTTGGTTCATAAAAAAATACAAAAAATACAACCCACGTATAAAAATTCTAGATTTACCGTTTATCAAAAATTTCGTTTCGCCTTTGGGAAAACGCGTTTTCCCGTAACCTGTTCCCGTGGGAACTTCGAGAATTTCCTTCGGAGTACACCTTAAAAAGCCTTCAAAGAAACCTACGTTCTAACTGTCAAGTGTCTTTTCGAGTATAAAACATAAAATGTTTTTCCTGTTCTCGTTCCCGTGGGAATGTCGGAAAGTGTTTTACTAGCTCAGAAACTTTCGCGGGCATACGTCCAATCATTCCCCTAAGCTTCATCACAATTGAATGAACAGTTAACAGTTTACGAGACAGACAGGGAAACAAGCATTCATTTTTGTTTAAATAATAGATAATAGCAGACCCGATGAACGTTGTATCAGCTATCCCGGCGCACCTCGTATATATGAGTACATTAACATTTCTATATAATGCCGTTACAGTGTACACGTTTTAAATCTTTTGAGGTTTTATGAGTTAGGACATGGTGGTGACGTGTTGCAAAATCACATTGTGCACATTTTAAGTATTTGAAAGTCTTGTGAGTTAATACCTAGGTTAACACATGTCTCTCAACTTTCTGGTACCGGCACAATAAGTAAGTCTACAGCGGTTATGCGCAAATGGCTAATTTAGACTCTGCAGGTGAAGCCAAGTGGTTCCGTGGCGCACTTACTTATATAATCATTTTCTTTAATTTTTGTCGTGTTTTTTCTATATTTTAATAGTTATTCTGCTATTCGGGCCGGAGGCGAATCCAACAAATCAAAGATCGTGAAAATGGGTCCAGATGTTCTTGAGTTATATGTGGTTAACATACACGATTTTGTTTTATATACAGTGTGTCAACGGATTGCGTGCATATACAGTGTAAGGTATGATAAATTTTGTTGCATCTTCATGTTCCGAGGATCTCCCCTGATTAGTCTCAAACTAAGATATTGAAAAAATGAGTCAAATCAATGAATATACAGGGTGTATTTTGTCGAAAAATTAGTCAAGAATAAACTGTTTTTATTTTAC